AGGTCTGAATGACAGAAAAGGATGTATATTTAATAAAATGAATAAAATAAAGTTGCCCAGACAAAACATGAAATATATTATGCTAATATTGTCTGCAATGAAATACAAGTCAAAGTAAATTTGAAAATCACTTTATTTTTATTTGCGTTTTCTATGCTGTCCTAACTTTTTCTGATTTGAGCTTGTTTAATAAACAGATATTAGTATAACAACCACTTCTAATACTGATAACAGCAATGATAATATTACATTTAAAAAATGGACACTAGTAGACTATGGCTACATCCACAAATAAAAAAAATATTTAAAAACGTTACATTTAAAAATCAATACATGATTTTGAATAATTTATTTGGGACAAATTTTCAAAGTACAGCTCAGTAATGTGTGGGAATAGTGGCAGATCAAGGCTGTGTGTTTTAGTGTGTGGGTTCTGATGTCAAACGCATTCGGTACGGACAACTTCAATGGTTTACAGCACCTCACATCTCACTCGCCTCCGTCTCCTCATTCTTTTTAACCTTTTCTAGGTGTCCCGCATGCTAATCAAAAAGACAAGCCATCATGTCAAGCCTCCATTGTATGACGTCCCAGCAGCCATTGCAGGATATATATATATATCAACTGACACAAGGTGCAGGCTTTGAGGTTTGACTGGTTTCTAATTGCCATTTATGAGTTACCACACACACACACACACACACCTCGCTGCAGCATTTGAGGTTCATTCGCTGTGGCACAAACCACACGTCTGCGACACGGGTGACCCTCTCGGCTTCATTTAAATAATCAGCCTCCCGGTGTTTTAGTTTGCCACCGCGCACACACGCGTAATTGCACAATTCACTGTTTGAATATCCCACTAATCAGCCTTTATTCACAGTGGGAGTGTCGGACCGAGTCACAGATCAGCAGCCATTACGGCTCAAAAGTGGCACATCAGTTCTATTACACCCACATGGAGCCCACGGAAACTGGAAGTGTTTGGAAACCAGAGCGAGAGCTCTAGGAAATCAATAAATCTGAGAATAATGATAAATTTTAGGATTTATTAAGCTTCAACTTCAAGCATTTTACCCTGACATTTTCAAAATGTGTGTATTTTTCCATTATAACACTGTTATTTTATTAAAAACGCAAAACACAAAAGAGTATTTTAAGCTGGAATGGCTGTAACGGTCAAATTGACCACATGCGCTGCCTTTTTCAGTGTCTTTGAATAGCAGCTTTCTGTTAACAAAGCATGTGTTGCGCCCCAATCCGCATACTTGTACTACGTTCTACAAGTATGTACTTTTTGTGAGGGAAATGTACATCCTTTTGAGTGTGTTAACAGAAGAGTATGCAAACTTCAGGAAAACACTACTTCCTCATTAACGGACCATTATGTTTCTTAGTTACGTCCCCTGTCAATCATCTCAACACATCATCCAAATTTCTTTCATATATTCAATACCCTTCCTTATTAGAAAACCAGTAGCAGGTTAATCTGCCATTCACAAGTCTTTCATATAGAGAAATCTCCTCAGGTCTTTGCATTATTATGCATTCAGAAGTTATTGCCTAAACACATCTTTACAGAAGTTCACATTGTTGTTGCAGATTAAATGTAACACGGAAAATGAGATTTAAATATTTAACAGTTGGCTAAATATGATGACAATAGTCATTCAAACTACTTTACTACTTTCCCAAATTCCCCCCTCCCTCCCCCAATGTAAATATGACGTGACAATGCTGTTGTAAATATGCATGTAAATATGACGTGACACTGCTGTTAAAATGGAAAGTTCTATTGAGTGTGGCCTCTTTGTTTATCTATGCTCTTTGATTCAGCTGTGCTAAATATTTGAATGGTCAGAATGATAATTTTAGTGGTTAAGGATTTCTGGCAGCTCCATTGGCATGATGTAATCTGTGCTAAATATCTTTATGGATTTCAAAAAAAAGAGTTTATAATTCGTCTCTGAATTTCTTTGCTGACTGAACATGAGAAAGATTCAGGGGTCAGTACCCTTGTCAAATGACCAATTAGATTAGAATAAAACATTCATGACCTTTTACGGATCACGATTGGCCTATTTGAGCGTGGTTTAATGTATTCAAATGAGATGCAAAACGTTTAGCGGACCCATTACCGTGTTATGGTCTATATTCTCTTTGCTCAAGAATGATCAAAAAAGTAACATTATTGTGCCATCTCTTATAGCTAGTGAAAATAGTTTTATTACATCACCAAAACATCTGAGACAAAATGAAATACCAAACGCTAACTGAAAACACCACAAGGTTAACTGAAAAAAAACAGGGATTATAAGGGATGATCCCCTATCAAAAAAGAAATAAAATACCCAAATTACTAAATATGTTAATATCAAGCTGTTTCAGTGTAAATAAACATATTAAAGGGTCAGTATATGTGTATCAATAATATTATTATTATTTACAAAGTTTAAAATAAATAGTATACAATAAAAATGCGGCAAATAAATTAGCAAACAGTTTAGCCTATTAAAATGAATAGCTATTATTATAAAGAAATTGAATCAAGTTATCAAATTTCATTAATCTTTTCTTCACTGTAAAACTTCAACATTCTGATTAGAGCAACAAACAACTCTCTTATTTAGATGTTTCATTTGATTAAATAGGAGAATCCCGGAAAAAAACGGGAGGGTTGACGGATATGCCTGAAAAAACTAAAGTTGAAGTCTAATTGAAAAATAGCAAATGCTAACTGAAAAATGTCCAACTCTAACTGTCAAACAACAGATATCAAACTAAAAACGCCAAAGGCTAACAAATGCTAAAGGTTAACTAAAAAATTGCAATGTGAAAATTGAAAACAACAAATTCCAATTGAAAAATGCCAGACTAATTGAAAAATGTCAAAGATGGCTGAAAAAACACCAAAGGTAATTGAGAAATACCCAAGGCTATCAGGGAAACACAGAAGGCTAACTAAAACAACACTGGAGGCAAACTGAAAAGGCTGACTAATTGAAAACATATAGTCTAACTGAAAAAATGCCAAAGTCTAACTGAGAAACAGCAAAGGGTAACTAACAAATGCTGAAGGTTTACTGAAAAATTGCCACATGAACACTGAAAACACCAAAGTCACAATGAAAAATGCAAGTCTAAGAGAAAATTGTTAAAGTCTTACTAGTAAAAACACACCAAAGTCTCACTGAAAATACCAAAGAGTAATGGAAAAACAAAGTCCAACTGACAAAATGCCAAAGTCTAACTGAAAAACACGTTTTAAAACACCTAAGGCTAACTGACAAATGCTAAAGGTTTACTGAAAAACTGCCACATGAAAAATGAAAACACCAAAGTCTAACTGAAAATACCAAAGTCTAACTAAAAAACAAGTTTTAAAACACCAAAGTGTAACTGAAAATGTCAAAGGCTAACTGACAAATGATAAAGGTTTACTAAAAAAAAAAAAAAAAAATCGCCACATGAAAACACCAAAGTCACACTGAAAAATGCAGGTCTCACTAAAAACTCACCAAAGTCTAACTGAAAATACCAAAGTCTAACTGAAACTGAAAAAAAACAAAGTCTAACTGAAAAAATGCCAAAGTCTAACTGAAAAATGTCAAAGGCTAAATGACAAATGCTAAAAATGTATTAAAAAACGGCCATATGAAACTGCAAACACCAAAAAAAAAAATCACACTGAAAAATGGAAGTCCAAGAGAAAATTGCTAAAGTCTCACCAAAATTGTTAAAAACACACCAAATTCTAACTAAAATACCAAAGGGTAACTGAAAAACATCAAAGTCCAACTGAAGAAATGTCAAAGTCTAACTGAAAACTCGTTTTAAAACACCAAAGGCTAAATGACAAATGCTAAAGGTTTCCTGAAAAATCGCCACATAAAAACACCAAAGTCACATCACCAAATATACATCACCAAAGTCTCACTAAAAACACACCAAAGTCTAACTAAAAATACCAAAGAGTAACAGAAAAACAAAGTCCAACTAAAAAACTCACCAAAGAGTAACGGAAAATTCTAAAGTCTAACTGAAAAACACGTTTTAAAACAACAAAGTCTAACTGAAAATGTAAAAGGCTAAATGACAAATGCTAAAAATGAACTGAAAAACAGCCACATGAAAACTGAAAACACCAAAGTCACATTGAAAAATGGAAGTCTAAGAGAAAATAGCTAAAGTCTCAGTATAACACACCTAAAATTCTAACTAAAATGCCAAAGTCTAACTGAAAACCCGTTTTATAACACCAAAGGCTAACTGACAAATGCTAAAAGTTTACTGAAAAATCGCCACATAAAAACACAAAAGTCACACTGAAAAATGCAAGCCTCACTAAAAACTCACCAAAGTCTAACTAAAAAAACAAATTCTAACTGAAAAATATCAAATGCTAATTTACAAATGCTAAAGATTTACTGAAAAACTGCCACATGAAAACTAAAAAGATCAAAATCACACTGAAAAATGCAAATCTCTAAAAACACACATCAAAGTCTAACTAAAAACGGCAAAGGAATAACTAAAAAACACCAAACGTTAGTATCTCTGGTGTGTCTGAAAACATACATGATTAGCAGTGAAAGCTAACTAGAACAAGACACAAAAACAAAGTCAAGTCGTGATGAAAGACCAAAAATACATTTTTGTTACAGAAAATCTGATCTAAAATTTGGTTACAATAGATTTCAATAAATATAATAATAATACTGTGTTGTTGTTCCTATTGATTGTTACACACAAGTGATGATTATCTGTAAACCAATCAATGTTCAGCAACTAGTTTAGCTCCACCCTGTATTGCAGTACTCTTGTACTAGGTACATTTACAAAAGTGTTCTAAAAAAGTGCTATGGTAATACTTTGCTATTTAATACTTCTTTTAGTAGAAACGAAAATAAATGCATGTTGTACAATACTACAGTGAACCGTGACAAAGTAGAGACGAGTCATAAATACAAATGGTGGCTAATTCAAGACGTGTTACTTACTATAGTGCCGAGTCATTGAGTTCGTACTCGTATCCGCGTGCCGCAGACGAACGCACACCCGGATCCGCCCACAAACAGCAGAGGGCGTGGGCTATGAAGGGGAACAGCATCTGGTCTTCATCAAAACAACGGCCACACGAGAGAACCGAGTGAGCGTGAACCTGGAGAGAAAACATAAACATGGATAATAAACCAATTACAGTTACCGTTAGCATGCTAACTCAGGCACTGCTGAAAATAATGAGAGAATAGAGTCTACGAAAACCGGAGGAACACCATAAATATGGATAAAAATATCATTTGTACATCAAGAGAGGAGCTTAAAGAATTATTGAAGAACTTTTCTCAATGAGGTATACAGTATGCACATGGACTTTTAATTTCAGTCAGCCAGCCTCTTCCAGACATTTCCAGCCTGGTCTTAGCTGGTCAGGCTGGAAAATGACCAGCTAAAACCAGCTTGACCAGCCTGGTTTAAGCTGGACATAGCTGGTTTTGGCTGGGCTCCCAGCCTGGTTAGGCTGGTCAAGCTGGTTTTAGCTGGTCATCTCCCAGCCTAACCAGCTAAGACCAGGCTGGAAATGGCTGGAAACCAACCTGGAAGTGGCCAAAACCCCTCTAAAACCAGCCTGGTCGACCAGCTAAAACCAGCCAACCAGCCTAGGCTGGTTTAAGCTGGATTTTTCAGCAGGCAACAACCAAAGCGTAGCATGTTAATTAAAGCTCTCCTGCTACAAATATTAAACTTTGAAAGAATCTTTCATTCATTCGTTTCCTTCAGCTTAGTCCCTTTTTTCATCAGGGGTCGCCACAGCGGAATGAATCGCCAACCTGTCCAGCATATGTGTTACACAGCGGAAGCCATTCCAACTGCAACCCAATAATGGGAATCACCCATACACTCTCACATGCGCACACATACACTACGGCCAATTCAGTTTATTCAATTCACCTAAACCACATATTTGGGGGGGGGGGGGGGGGGGGGCATGTAAACCCCACACAGAAATGCCAACTGACCCAGCCGGGACTCAAACCAGTGACCTTCTTGCTGTGAGGTCACAGTGCTAACCACTGAGCCACCATGTCGCCCAAGATTTCTTAATTGCCATTATTATTATAATGATTATTAGTCAGTTTTTGTATGATTAGTCAAGCCATTACTAGCAAGAGTTCGGATAAGTAAGAAAATGTAATGTTAGGAGTCGTAGCACAGCTTTTTAAACATAAAATATAATTAAAAACGACTAGAACAAAGGTCTTTCAGTGTGACCCAACACACATATCTTACTCTGTTATTAAAGAACAATCGGCTTCATCTGTCTAATTACAATACATCGTTCATCACATGACCCGATCAAACCCGGCCTACATCACGAGTGTATTTCACAATCACAGCAGTCGACCCTCAGACGCAGATAATGACTGTTTGAGACACCCGTGCGGAAGATACCAGAGGATTAGGATGAAACTCAACTCACTGACTGACAGCCTGGTTTGGTCTGCCTGTTAAATATCTACATGCATCTAGTTGTAGCATAAAGATGCTGCCACCTAGTGGCCCCTCTAAAGACCGCAAGCAACAGAACTGCAAGAATATGTCTCGTTAGAGCAGATGTATAGACTTAGTATTTGATTAGCTGGAGAAATGGCATCCTTGTTAACTTTGGGTAACATGCCATGAGGATCTGTAGATGTACTTTAGCCGATTATAGAGTTAATAAATTTATTTTTTATTATCTTTTACATGTACGTTATTGCCCTTTGCAGTTATATTCAATTATATGCCAGTCGTATGACGTATAATGTCTAAAATTATGTCTAATATAATAGTAGGTATAATAATAACAATAATAATAATAATAATAATAATAATAATAATGATGATAATAATAATAATAATAGTAATAATACATATATGACTACAGTTAAAGAGAAATGTAATAGCCATTTTTTTATTCATTTCTTAAGTATTGTTTAAGAGAGCAAGAACATGTTTATTTGCAGCATTTCCTATTTTTTTTTTGGAGAAAGTCTTTCTTCTTTTAGTTTGGCCAGGAAATAAAGATGAAGATTGCTGAGATCAATATTATTTACATTCTTAAGAAATTATTTTATTATTTATTATTGAATGTAAAAAATGTATATGTAAAAATAAATGCATGAGTACGGAATGATAAAACATTACAAACATGGGTACACTAGTACCAAAATCAGAAATTTAAAAGAGTTGTGGAAATACCACAGACCCACCCCAAAAAACTACAATGTGGCATTAATAAATAAATCATGATAGAGAAATAATAATTATTTTGTACTTTAGTACAAGTCCAAAATGTGAACATAAAATATAACGAAGTAAATTAAAATAAAATGCACTCATAAAGCGTTAGGGCTGGGACACACAAAGCTGAAAGTCAACTGTTGGGCTTCATCAGCCTGGCTAGTGACTTAAGGCTGATTTATACTTCTGTGTCAAACACCGGCGTATGCTACGGCGCTGACGCATAGCCCTTCGCCGTGGCTGTCGGCGTCGCTAACGTGCACCTCTCAAAAATTGTAACTACACGTCGCAACGACGCGTAGCGCAAGCTCTGTGATTGGTCGGCTTGGTAGCACTGACAAGTCTGGGCGGGACCGAGAGCCGCGCGAATGGCGCGAGCTGGACGCGAGCACAATGGAGCGATTGTTTACAAGTGTGGAGTCCCGTGAAGGGGCTCCTGATGAAAAGTTTTGTTTTGTGTTTACCTCATAGTTAAAGTTCTTGCACGTCCGCCAGTTCCTGCCTCAAAATGAATGAGTTTGAGCCACTTGTACATCCAGGAAGTGTTCAGGAAAAGCAAAACAGCAGAGAAGAAACTCGACACAGAGGAACATTTACACCTCACTGCCAACTAGCGTTTCGGAAGTGTTAATTCAGACCAACAGAGACAGAGCGCAGAAGTATAAATGCACAGCTACGCACGTTGCATGCGCAGTGGGTCACGCCGGTCATTTGACGCAGAAGTACAAACCAGGCTTTAGGTGTGTTTGACAAGTCGCCTGTTTTTGGGTTAATGTTGGATTAGCATCGGCCATCAATTGAAGAGAGTGCCCTGATTGGTTATTCAGAAACAAGTCAAAGCATGAAACCAAAAACTGAAGTGTCGAATCCAAGTAAAACATTCAAGTCAAGAGAAAACACAAAAAAGCTGGCTGTAATTTCACAACATTTCTCAAATATTTTCGAATTTTTGGTGTGTTCACGTGCAGATTTTTGGTCCAAACAGGACAGGATGTGAGCTGACAACACAGTTGATTTTCACCAGTGCCAGTTATTCTGCAACAGCTTGCTGTTTCCCAGTTATCCTGCAACAGCTTGCTCGTATTCACAACAAACATACTAGTATTCAGCTTAAAATGCAATTTAAAGGCTTTACTATAATTAGGTTTACTTGGCTAGTTAGAGTAATCATACAAATCATTGTATAATGATGGTTCTCGAAAACAAATATTGTTTAAGGGTGCTAATAATATTGACCTTAAAATAGTTTTAAAAAATAAAAAACTGCTTTTAATCTAGCCTAAATAAATATAATAAGATTTTCTCCAGAAGAAAAAATATTATGGGAAATACTGTGAAAAATTCCTTGCTCTGTTAAACATCATTTGGAAAATATTTGAAAAAGTAAAAAGAAACTTCAACGGCATATTTATACTTTATATAACACAGTTCTAGTGGTTATTAGACATTTTAATGAAAAAAAGTACATATTGTGTCTGTAAAGTGTAGTGAAGAAAGCAACAGACCTTGTTTTTTGGGTTGGCGAGGTTGATGCGAAGGACACCCATCCCATGCAGGACAAACTTCATGGAGGTCAGCAGATTATCAAGCACCGCCGGCTGAAAATATAAAAACACACAAGATCCTTCTGAGTATCTAGCTAAAAAAAACTAAACAAAGCATATTTATATTCTGAATGCATCTGCTGAATAAAAACATGACTGGCAGGTTGTGTTTGTCTTTTCAAACGCTACAATGACGTCCTAAAGTAAAAGCATTACGCAGAAACCACTGAAGCAAACATGTGCATCCACTTCCTGAATTCACTTCTGCTCAAGTGATCCTGATTGTCTCTCATCCACCTGAGTGACAGGAAGTGACCTCATCGTTGTGCAGCCATCAAACGCTCTACTGCAGCTCAATGCACTTATGTATTATGCATAATGATTTACTGTTTTTTTTTTCTGTTCATTTACATATATTCAAATGAATGCTGGGCAATAACTAATCGTGATTAAATCAGATACAAAATAAAAGTTTGTTTTTACATATAATATGTGTTTAATATGTATATTTACTATGCATATATAAATACACACACATACTTCAAAACAAAACTATATTAATAAAATTACATTTGTAAAATAAACTTATAAACATTTTTTGTTATATTATAATATATATATATATATATATACAGTTGAAGTCAGAATTATTAGCCCCCCTGAATTATTAGCGCTCCTGTTTATTTTTTTCCCCAATTTCTGTTTAATGGAGGGAAGATTGTTTTAGCACATTTCTAAGCATAATAGTTTTAAAAACTTATTTCTAATAACTGATTTATTTTATCTTTGCCATGATGACAGTAAATAATATTTTACTAGATATTTTTCAAGACACTTCTATACAGCTTAAAGTGACATTTAAAGGCTTAACTAGGTTAATAAGGTGAACTAGGCAGGTTAGGGTAATTAGGCAAGTTATTGTATAATGATGGTTTGTTCTGTAGATTATCGGAAAAAAAATAGCTTAAAGGGGCTAATAATTTTGTCCTAAAAATATATTTTTTAAAATTAATAACTGCTTTTATTGTAGCCGAAATAAAACAAATAAGACTTTCTCCAGAAGGAAAAATATTATCAGACATACTGTGAAAATTTCATTTCTCTGTTAAATATCATTTGGGAAATATTAAAAAAAGAAAAAAAAATCAAAAGGGGGCTAATAATTCTGACTTCAACTGTATATATACATACATATATATATATATATATATATATATATATACATATATATATATATATATACATATATATATATAATATTTTTGCTTATTTGTAACATATAAGTTTATAATAATAATTATAATATCTAAATATAAACATTTTCTAAAATATACACATAATAAATATACAAAGTACACGCATATATTATGTCAATAGAAGGTCACTGGTTTGAGTCCCGGTTGAATAAGTTAGCATTTCTGTGTGGAAGTTCCATGTTCTACCCGTGTTGGCGTGGGTTTCCTCCAGGTCACGGTTTCCCCCACAGTCCAAACACATGTGCTATCAGTGAATTGAATAAGCTAAATTGGCCTTAGTGTACGAGTGTGTATGGTTGTTTTCCAGTACTGGGTTGTGGCTGGATAAGCATCAGGTGTGTAAAACATTTGATGGAATAGTTGGTGGTTCATTCTACTGTGGCAACCTCTGAAATAAAGACTAAGCCGAAGGAAAAAGAATGAAATGAATAATTAAGATACATTTATTAATAGTATTTTTATATGCAAAATTTATAATATTATGTTTGCACAATATTAAAATGTTGATCATATACATTATTAACATGAAGAATTTAGCACAGAAAGAACAGGCAAATTCATTTTTGACTCTTTTTTTTTTTACACTGAAACGCTTCAGAAAAGCAGTTTGTGTCTGTCACTCAAAACATTGGCATTTTCTTTTAACACTGTCTGTCAGCTGGTGTTGAGCTGAAAGCAAACACATTCCTGTGCTTTATATCCAGCAGCTTTGCTTTGCTAGAGAGCAGATCAGACACACTGAGCTTTTAGAGAAAAGCCTTTCTGGGTTCACAAGCGACAATCCTGCTCATTTACCGATTCTCTGAAGCTGGAAACAAACACATACTTACAGCTGAAGTTAAAATGATCAGCCCTCATGAAATTTTTTCCCTTTTCAATTATTTCCCAAATGATGTTTAACAGAGCAAGAAAATTTTCACAGTATGTCTGATAATATTTTTTCTTCTGGAGAAAGTCTTATTTGTTTTATTTCGGCTAGAATAAAAGCAGTTTTAAATTTTTTAAAATCCATTTTAAAGTCAAAATTATTAGCCCCTTTAAGCTATATTTGTTTTATTATCTACAAAACAAACCATCATTAAACAATAACTTGCCTCATTATCCTGACATACCTAATTAACCTAGTTAAGCCTTTAAATGTCACTTTAAGCTGAATACTATTATCTTGAAAAATATCTAGTGAAATATTATTAACTGTCATCACGGCAAAGATAAAATAAATCAGTTATTAGAAATGAGTTCATAAAACTATCATGCTTAGAAATGTGTTGAAAAAAATCTTTTCATAAAAAAAGCTGGGGTAAAAAAAATAACTGGGGGCTAAATATTTAGTAGGGCTAATAATTTTGACTTCAATAAATATTTTACGAAAACTCTTCAAACAAGCGTAGGCTAATGCATTTTATACTGTTAAAAAATGCTAATTATAATGGTAGAATCGTCACGATTACCAGTTTCTAGGGAAATTACGGTAATTCTTTACCGTAAAGTAACATTACCAGTTAAACTTTTCATTATCTTTAAAACCGTGATTAATCTTGATCGCAATTATGACAACTCAATGCAAATCCTGTATAACGGTGATTAGCTAATTGCGGAACGCACCGTGTTTACAGTTTATAAATATGTACATTTATAAATACACGTAAAGTTCTATTCCTTTCATTCGTGTTTGCTGCACACTATTGAGAGTACACTAGAAAAAAAATTATTAATTGGAATTACAATTTTTTTTTAAGGTAAAACTATTTATATGGGTTGAATTTAAACAAATTAAGTTGAAGATTAGTCAATTTAATTAGTTTGTTTAAAACTTTAAAAACAATTAGTAAATCCAATGAATCATTTTTTTCAGTGTGCGCAGCTGAAGCTCGACTTTTTTGATTTGACATTTAAATTTTGATCACAAATCAAATTGCAATATTAGTGAAAAATTAAAAAACAAAACAACAACACAATCTTATTTTATTTTTAACAAATCACACAAAATTATTTGGCTTTTCTAAAGCAGCTTTTTGGGATTTTTGTGAAAAACAAGTTAAAAATGGATGACAACCGGTTTTTATATTTACGCATTCTCAGTCTCAAAAATTATTTGGTTGTGTAAACGAACAGGCAAACCGTATAAAATTTACCTGTTTTTGGCTAAAAAAACGTTAACACGTAAACTGCCCCTAAAATTCCACGCGAGTCAACAGAATCTTGCAAAAATTATCCTCAGGTTAAGCCAAGATTCAAGAAGACTACCAACTCCTCCAGTCCAAACTCTCCTGTTACTCGCTGAAGTCACGTTTGTAACTGGAGAATTTAGCACTTCATCAAAGAGAGCGAGTCAGGAGGAGGTCGAGGAAATGAAAGCACGAAACCCAGCTGGGAGTTTTGTGAAGTCGTGCCATAAAAAAAGGCCACCAGATGAACAAAGAAGATAAAACATGTGTAATGTAACACTGACAGCACTGTTGTGTGTGTATGTGTGAACATCTGATGCGCCTCGTTTTTATTAGTGTTCGACAATACGCCATTCAATGGTTTGGCGTCAGTGAGGGTTTTTGTTTTAAAGAACATTTATGTTTTAATTCAGCAAGTATGCATTCAATTGATTAAATATAGACTTTGTGGAAAGGTTAAAAACAACATTTGCTAACATTTGCAACACATTTTATATCTAAAACACTTAAATGGCCTTGTTTACAGCAAGGCTATTATAGTTTTTTGCATTTTAAAATTAGTTTTTATTTCAATACTATACATTTCAGATTAGTTTTGGATAGTTTCAATAATGGTTTATTAGTTTTTTTAATTAGTTTCTATTTTGAGAAAATTGTATATATTTGGTTTTAGTTATTTTAGCTAAGCAGAGTTTGCACAGCTTGCGTTAACTCTTGTGCAAACCTCTTTGTAATAAAAAAAATATAATATTTTGAACAGACACAGAACGCAAAAGCATACAAATGCAAATATGTACAAGAGTAAACATTATGAAGAATTCAGACTTCTTCAAATTAAAGATAATATATACTTTATTATGCCTAGCTTACAATTTTTGCCGATTTTATGGGTATATTAAAAGATGTTTTTGTATATAAACGTGTTTTGACAGATTTGTTTGGCTGCAAAACCATCATCCACAGGCATTCCCTATTCTTATTATTCCTAAAAACAATCAGAACTTTTGATAAATGTTATTTTATTTCAATAACTGTTTTTAGTTTTAGTTTTTTATTAACTGGAAATTTCAACATTTTATTTAACTTTTTTTATCAATACGTTGAGTCTAAGTTTTAGCTTTTCTTTACTAAAATACTTTGTTTTACACTTAAATATGGTGTAAAAATGAATTTTCAACCATTTAGATCTCAAATGGACATTGAACAATAAAAACAGGTTAAAACAGTCTCTTAAGTCCGGGGTTTCTGCAGGTTTCACCAAGTTAAATTTAAGACTTAAGGACATTAAGCATTATGAATAAAATTTTAGACTTATAGAGGGCTAAATGCTATGGATTTATTTCAAATATCCAGGTTAGAAAATATTTTCTCTTGCCCTATCATAAAATTATTCAAATTTGAAACATTTAATAATACAATAATAATAATAATTTAGTTTAAATATTTTTTCATTAACTTTTTAAATATATCCATTTACAAACCCTAAACCCTTATCAAGAATAAAACAATTTATAGCTGTCAATTACTTCAGTCTACAATAATAATAATTTAATAATAAAAATGTAGGTCAGGTCGGTGTCCTCAGCACAGCAGTAGATAAATGGAGAACTTTTAAGCAGTTACTGTAAGG